CCAGGCTGACCAAGCTGCCCAGGCTGCCCAGGCTGACCAAGCTGCCCAGGCTGACCAAGCTGACCAGGCTGACCAGGCTGACCAGGCTGACGGGGGCCTTTCCCAGTCGACTCCAAGCAGCAGCCCCCATGGGCTCAGAGGGTCCCAAGAGTTTTTCTCCACTTTGGTGCCCACAACGTCGAAAATCAGGGAAAGCAATGAGGATAACTCACCGAAACACAATCCCCGCTATGAAGTAGAAGAGCCCCAGCGTGTCCATGACGTTCCACAGGTCGGTGAAATAATTCACCCCGTTCATGTACCACTGCAGCCCGGGGGGAGAGAGAGGTGTCAGCAGCCTGGGACCACCGTGTGCTTCCCGTCCTCCCCAGGTCCGCTCTGGGCCAAGAGAGCCCTAACACGCCCCGCCACCCGGGGGACCCGAGGCTGGGCTGGGCGCCAGCGGCTCTGCTATTCATGTGTTGCTGGTCGGTCAGGAGGAAGGTCTCCTGGTCCTCCTTCAAGATGAAGCCACAGAGGGCGAGCACCACCTGCCCGGGCACCTGGGAAGCACGGGCCACCTTGCTCGGTGAGTAGCACAGTCACACACCTCACAGTTACAGAGGGGCCATCCCTGCTGGGCTCGTTGTCGGCTTCTGTACCCACCTAAGATTTGTCTGGCACATGACAGTAAAAGGCCTTGACTAAAGGATATCCAGGAGGAGACGCCTCTCTAGCCACCGTAGACTGGAGTTGGGGAGTCCCAGGGGGGCCTCTAACCTGTCATCTGTCCTCCTACTCCAAGTATGTTTCCTGAGGGCCCACAGGATTGCAAGCCCTGGGCCAGCCTCCTGGGACACAGAGAGATCAGTGGGTGCAATACCCATCCTCAAGGAGTCCACTGTTCCATGGAAATACAGGTGTAACCATGTTAAAACCAAATGTGAAGAGGATGGGAGAGAAGGCAGAAGTTCACCGGGGAGTAAGCTCAGATTAGGGCCACCGTATTCACTGTGCACACCAAGAAAGCCATGGCAAAGAGGGCCCGGAAGGGCGAGGCCCACTCATCTCTCCACCCGAGATGGCCAGTACTCGGGTCCTGCTTCCTACCCTGACCCAGACACCGAGGCCTGGAGGCTAAGGCGCCGCCCTGAGCAAGGCCTCCCTGTTCTCAATCTCCAGGCCCCTCCAGCTCCCACCGGGAGGAGTCAAGACGCACAACCCACTTCCAGGCACCTCCTTCCCCACGAGTGAGTGGAAAGAGCAGCTGAGTGGGCAACAGAGGAGGCTGCTGGGAACCAGGACCCGTGGGAGGCCACGGCTGGAGCAGCCCTGGATGGATGCTGGGAAATGACCGCTGGGGAGGTGGCAGGGGTGTCCACCTGGCTGGGCAGCATGATTCCAACTGCCATTTGCTTTTCCTGTGCCTGGTGAGACAAGGGTCTGCCTGGCACTGGTCTGCCCCTGCCCTCCGGGACCCAGGCAGATACCAGCAGCCTACACAGCCTACACGACCTTGCCCAGGTCACCTTCAGAAGTCACCCTGGCCTTCATGCAGATACCTTAGGCCAGTTCCAGGGCTCCAGGAACCAGTGCAGGGAGAAAGCTCTTTTATTTCTTTTTCTTCATCATCATCATCATCATCAATGAGAGGAGGCCTCTTCTCTGAGCGTAAGGGCAGAGGCACACTGAATTTGTAAACCACCAGCACCGTGTTTCAAGTTCTCTCTTAGGATCTGGGGACACGGTGGGCCTCGAGATTGAACGGTGCTCTCTGTGAAGGTGCAGGCGACTTGCCCCATCTTAAGCAAACACTCATGGTGCCTGCTTAGCAGAGCCCAGGTGATTTAGCAACTGTGCCGTGCTATTGACTGTCCTGGTTAAAAACCCCAAGTCAGCACATCAGTATCTGCCTCCAGGCCGAGGTCACCTGGAGACGCTACAGAGCACGGCTCTTTGACTCCCAGACACAATTTAAATCAGGTGGCCTCTATTTCGGGGTTGTTTTCCTCTCACAAACGTGAATCAGTTTAATGAAGACCACACCCGGCCAGCAGAGCCACTTCCTGGGGGAAACTAATCCCTTAGGAGTCCAAAGGCACCGGCTGCAGACAAGAAGGGAAACAGCGACCCCCAGTGGCAGGTTCTTTAACAACAAGCCCCTCACAGCTACAGTCTGAGGACTCCCTGGATCCAAGGCCCTGCAGCCGCCACGGGCAGGACCACTGAGTTAACCTAGGTCAGTGTTGGACCAGGAACACTGGCTGGACACCCTCAGTACCACCTACGAAGCACCCCCATTCTGGACGCAGAGGGTAGAGGCTCTCCGGCCTTGCAGGCCTCCCTTCCTCCAGCAGCCCCAGGGAAGACTCTAGTCCACTTTCCCCTCTGATGTTCCTACCCCCTGCCCTCTGTCCACTCACACTCCATGTCCCTGCCCTGAGCCCTCCTTGCTCTCAGCCTAACCTGCCCCAGGCCTTCTCCAAGCAGGATAGCTGCCTGGGTCTCCCCCCACAGGCCAAACAGGTGCTTAGTGGCTAAATGCGCACATGATGCTTGTATGGAGATGTCTGTGATGGCAGCAGTTCCCCTGGGCCAACCTGTCCTACGGTGCTGGCCCCCACTCAGCTCTCCTCAAGAGCTCCTGGAAGTGACCCACCAGTCACCCTAAGGGGAAAGCTCCACGGGCCAAAGGTATTTGTCTGGTTCATTCTGTATCTTCAGGGTCTCAGGCAGGGCCTGGCACGCAGTAGGTGCTCACTGAATACTTGGTGAAAGACAGGACACATGGAAAGGGCCTGGGCTTCCAGAGTTAGGCCCGTCTCCCTGCGGTCCCAGCCACAGGCCGGGCTTTTCCTTCTAACAAACAGCTTCCTGGTTCCTGTAGATGCCTAAGGACCCGCCTGGCAGCTTCTGTGTCCTAATGGGACGGGAGCAGGGTCAGGGATGAGACTGGCAGGGGAACGTGTGAGAAGATGAGGGTGGCGGAAGGGGAAAGCATTTCTTATTTACCAACATTCCAAGATGAGGCACCAAGGTCCCCTCTGCTTGGAAGGCTGCCCTGAGCACCTTGATGCCAGGGAGCACCTCTGGGTGCCTTGCTCCTGCCCCGTCCTCACGACTCACTTCCCGCTTTGCTGCTGCCACACAGTAAGTCAGAGTAGAACTAGGTACAAGGCTGGCCGCTGCAGAGCAAATGGACCCTGTGATGGGCTGAATCATGTACCCCAAATGGAAGTCCCACCCTCTGCACCTCGGAGCAGGACCTCGTCTGGACGGGTCACAGCGATGTGACTGAGTGAGTCAGGAGGGAGTCCAGTGAAGCAGAACGGCCCCCACCCAAAGTGAGCGCTGTCCTCAGGAAACGGGGAAATCAGGACACATTCAGGCTCCCAGGGAAGACACCACATGGATGTGACACAGGGTCACAGTGTTGCTTCAACAGGCCCAGGGACAGCAATGATGGCCCCAAACTACAGAAGCCGTGGAAAGGAGCCAGCCCCGCCCACACCTGACCTCAGACTCCAGGCTCCAGAACTGTGAGCAATGAGCCCGTGCCACTGAAGCCACCACAGCCTTACAAACCATCACAGAGCATGACCTGGACAGGGCCGTGGCCTCAGGAGGCAAAGCACGGGGCTCCCAAGGGGCTGTCGTGAAATCGGGGAAACGCTCTGCACCCCTGCAGGACCTGGGAGACTGCAGGAGACAGCCCGCCCGGCAATGGGCCCCGTCCAGCACTGGTGGTCACTCAGCCCTTCCTCTTCACCTCCACCCAAACCTCCCACCTCAGGGCACGGGAAGACAGGAGCAGGGCACTGGCCCAGGACCCCCCACTCCTCCCACCGGGCAGACATCATGGATCAAGATGCTCCCTGCTGAGAGCAGACGCCCTCAGACTCTTCCCACCCCAGGGGTCCCGGAACCACACACCCACACAGGGAAAGGCTGTCAGGGCCCTGTGACGGACAGGACAGCATCTTCTATCACTGGGCCCACTACTCCCCAAACCGAAAGCACCCCGTACGTTCCAAGGGCCGGCACACACCGCGGAGCCCACACATGTTGAGGCCTGGGCTCAGAAGGGACCCCAGCAGGGCGGTGAGCCCCGATCTGAAGGGTTTCTCAGACGGCTTTTCCTACAGGTTCAGGGACAGCCCCACTCTTCACCATCAAATGATTTCTTTGAGAATTACTAACTAAGCACCTGCGACAGGTGAGGCCAGGGCTCAAGTTTTGGATTCAACAGTGGAGAGGGGAAGCCCAAAACCGCAGCTGCCCAGAAACCAAGAAAAACCCAATATCATTTCACACCGCCTCCCTGAGTCCCACAGGGAGCCCCGCTTTTGCTCTGACACTGGGCATCACGATGCCCTCAGCTGCTGGAAAGTCCCCCCAGATACCCTGCCACCTGCTACACCGCCCCCTCCCAGGGCGACAGTCACAGTAGGAACACGGATGATTCCTGATAATGGCAGGGGCTGCAGACCAAGGTCCCTGTCCCTAGAACACCACCCACCCCTGACTGACCCATCGTCACCGATTAGCCGCAGGCAGAGTGCAGAACACGGGGCTGGCAGATCTCCCCAGGTCGCCAGCAGTTTGCGAATGACCCCAGGTTCACGGGCAACCAGCCAGCAGGGACACTGACGTCCTGACTTCGAGCCCCAGCTCCCCAGCAGCTCCCCTCTGCTGGGCACTAGGAGGACGTGGCCCGCGCCCTCGAGCCCTCCTACCTGCCTCACTTCATCACAGAACAGGACGAAGACCAGCGCGTACAGGACCAGCTCGGGGGTGTGCGGCACCGCGTGGAAGTCCATGAGCAGCACGTAGGCAAAGAGCAGGAGGAAGGCGATGTAGAAGACCACGTTCCAGGAGAAGACCACGAACGGGGAGGTGAAGAAGGCCACGTAGTGCCACAGGAGCCGCTTGTGCTTGTCCACGGGCTTCTTCCTGAAGGAGAG